GGCTTGGTGCGAGTTCCAATGGCTAAGGTTGCTGCAGCTTTCGCCGCCAGCGGAACACGCCATGGTGCAGATCGCTGGTTCGTCACAAACGTTAGCAGGTCCCAGAAGCTTGAAGGGCTACCTGACCTTGCTGTTGATTGGGTGGAATGGGACGAAGCCGAATCGTGGAACCAGTATGCCAACCGTTGTCGCAAAACTGCTGCTGGATCGACCTTTGGTCTCGCCAGGGGCCGAAGTCAACTTGGTGTTCGACGGGCTGCAACTCCGGAAGATTTATCTCGGCCCCGCACTGTGCGCAGACTGTGGCGGGCTGCGGGTGTGCCCAGGGAATGGGCCTTTGAGGATGTCGAAGCCTTCATTGGGCGCCTCGGCTTTGGGGACGTGGTCCTGGAGGAGAGGTCCCCTTGGCGGCAAACTTCTTCGTGGACCTTCCGTGCTGTCATGCAGGTGGATGTTGACTACAAGGCTGTGCAAATCACTGACGGCTCCATCGAGCTCACACGGCTGGGTCGTGAAAAGCCCGCTGGTCCGGCTCAGGTCCTCCCCATTGAGTGGAAGCAGGTCTTTTGCAAGGGAGCGGCGAAGGACAAGAAGCAGGTCAAGACTAAGAATTCAGATGATGGGGCTCTGGCTAGGTTTGCGACGCGGAAGCTACCCTGCCCCAGTGCTACTTCGACTACCGCGGCGATGCCGGTTGATGGTGGCGCAGACGTTCCTCGTCTGGATGATGGCAAGTCTGTCACCAAATCCCCTGATGATGCGGAGGCAAGTGAGAGCAAGCGACACAAGCCTGCTGCTGCTGTCGACACCCCCGTCGGCATGACGTTGATGGACAATCCGGGCAATGGCAATTGCCTATTTCATGCCATAGCAGACTGCTTGCACGCTCAGGGCCGTTCCAAGCGTACAGCCATGGAGATCCGGGTCTTAGCGGCGACGCACTTGAGAACACATGCCAAGTACTATGAGGGCTTCTGGAAGGGCGATGCGCCGGAGGCCACGCACGTTGACATCCGTGAAGAGGGCTTTGCTGAGTACATCCGCCGCATTGGCCGAGATGGTGCCTGGGGTGGGTCGCTGGAGATTGCAGCTCTGGCATATACCCTGGCCCAACCTGTGTTCGTCTTCAGGCCGAATGATGATGGCGTAAGGGTCTTCAATGGCAAGGCTAAGGGCACGCCGTTGGCATTATGGTTCGACAAGCAACATTACCAGGCGCTCATTGGTGCGGTCGCCCAGCCCTTTGTGTTGGGCGCTGCGCCTGCTACACTGGGTGATCACGCTGATCGAGGTGGAGTTCCTAGCACCTTGGGTGGCAAAACCATTAGCAAGCTGGGTGGCTGCACGGTGTCAGGTCCTGGAGATAGCCGAACCATTGGACGGTCCACGCTAGGTGGACGCACAAAGACTGTGAAAAAGGAGTCCACCAAGCAGGCCACTCGTGTTACGAAACCTGACCAAGCTGCTTTACCTTCGGATATGGCATCGACTATTGATGTGGGTAACCTTGCTGATGCTGACGCTGCTCTTGATTCCGCTGATGCGGTGACAGGACGTGGAGACAATCGCTCACGTGTTCGGCCTTCTCGATATCGTATTGCGGGTTGGTACACATGGTCTTGTGAGTTATGCCCGCTTGTGATCCAGAAATCCACTTGTGCTGCCATGTGCAAGGCTCGCACACAACATTGCCAACGTTCCCATCAAGGACAAGGCCTTCCGGGAGTTCGTGTGGCGGACACACGGGCCTTTCGTGAGCTAAGCCCTACCGAGGCCTTTGATTGGTGCTGCCCTTTGTGCTATTTCGGCTTGCCGTTGGGGACACGTTGCCAGGTCTCCTCGACTGCATTCGCATCAGGCCGGGACCAACATCGCGTCATGTGTCATCGCATCTCACGGAAGGACTACTTGCGCCAGTGCGTTACGCAGGGAGCTCGCAAGGCTCCCCATGTCATGAAGGCTCGTGTGAGGAGATTGAATGCCGGACTCGCCCAAAGGGGCAAACAGGGCTGCTTGGAAATCGAGGGTTGGGAGACCTTTCACTGGCCTAGAGTGCTCAACCAGAAGGCACAGGATCGCCCTCGCGCTTTGCGGGTCAGTACGGCATGGCGTTGCAAAGATTGCGGGGCTTGCACATCAGTCGTGGCGCACCGTGTCAAGCATGACAGCATCTGCGGCACATTCACGCCGAGTTGGCTGAAAAGTTCCAGAGCCCGACTCGATGATGACCGCGAGGAGGCCAAGGAGCTCAAGCATGGCATCCCCGAGGACTTGTTGGATAGCATCTTTGACCGCGCCTCACGAGCCTTGGAGGGCAAGCCGCTGACTACGTGCCCATCCTCATGACGAGACTCACTACGATGAACGTCGGGCGAATGGGGGTGGCCAAGATTCCAGTGATCACTTCGTTCCTGCAGCATTGTATCTCCGAGATTGTTTGCTTGCAGGAGGTTGATATCCAAGATGCCAGCGCAGCTTCTTGGATTGCTTCGTGGCAAAAGTGTGGATTCTACGCCTACCTGAATGTGGGCCAGGATGGGAAGTCCCGCACCGCGATTCTTTCTCGGAATCCAGGGCAAGGCCTACACCTCCCTAATGTTACCGATCAATCACGATACTCTGCTGTTGTCTTTGAGCTCAACTTTGGTACTGGTGCTCGCAAGCTTGCGATTGCGTCCATTTATGGATATGCCTCCGATACCGAGGGTGCGGCTAGGCATGCTGAGCAGGTCATTGAATCTCTCCAAGGTACTGGCCTTGAGTGGCTGGTGTTGGGAGATTTCAATGTCACGACGGATGAGGGCCCCATGGCTCGCAGATTAGCGGCTGGCCTTTGTCACTCTCTTGATATGCCATTTCAGGCTGAGGGCCCACTTCCTGGTACTGCTGGTGGAGTCAGACGCATTGACTATGGTTTGGGCACGGGTCGCTTGTTGCCCAAAGTGGTGGATCACTACCAAGGTGTTGCCAACCATGTTGCGGTGCGCTATGAATTCGACTTCGAGGAGCCTCGGGGTTATTCTGTGCCGCCGCGTCGGTGCTTGTCCGTGGACCCAGTGACTGTGGACACTTGGAATGCCGCTTGGGATGACAGCCACTTCCAGGCCTTGCTATCCAACCATGATGTCGATGGTGCTTGGGTCTACCTTTCCAACGTTGCTGAGGCGGTGTTGGGAGATGGAGGGGCCAGCAAAGGTGTCCTTCGTTCTTCAGCCTGGCGTCCTCGGAAGGAATGCCATAGAAGTAAGGCGGCTAAGCAATTTGAGAGTGTTGGTCTGGTCAGGTTGCGGAGGATGAGTCGTCGTCTTGACCAACTCGCCCGACAGCCACATGATCTCAGATTACGTGATAAGATTGCATGTGCTGCCCAGGGGCTTGTGGACTCCTATGCTTGGTTACATGAGCTGCACTACTTCACCATGGAGCAGCAATGCGACTGGCTCAGAGGGCACGTCGAGGAGGTTGCAAGTCAAGAGCGTGCTCAGGCCTTGAAGAAGTGGCGCTCTACCATGCGTACTTCAGTGCGGAAGCAGTCCAATTGGATCAAGAAACGAGCAACGTTGAAGTGTGGCCTGGTGACTCCGAAGATCTCTGACTGTGCTGTGCTTAGCCGGAAGGCCATACATCCAGTGGAGATGATCCGTCAGGCCGAGGCAACTTGGATTCCGTTGTGGACTACAGGTCCGGTGAACGATGAGCCTGTGCGCGAAGTGCTGCAGTCCTTGGATGCTCGACCGACCTTTGAGGGGGACTCACCTTCTTTCGCGCCGGACCGCTTACTTCGTGCTGCGCGCAAGATGCGTGCGCGAGCTGGGGGGCCTGACGGCTGGGAGATTGAGCACTTCCTGGCGCTGCCTGCCCCGTTCTGGCAGGCGCTCAGTGATCTTTGGCGACGAGCTTATCAGGTGGCATCCCTTCCATGCAGATGGCGCGAGGCGCGTGTGGCTTTAGTGGCAAAGCCACTTGGAGGTTTTCGGGCAATATCCATACTCAGCATTGCTTATCGCATCGGCTCCAGCGTGCTTGTTAAGGAGCTGCGTGGCTGGGCAGACACATGGCTGAACCATCGGATATTAGGTGGAGTGCACCATCGCTCCACTCGTGATGCTTTTATCCGGCTCATTGATGCAGCGTCCGACGGCGATTGCGTCTTTGTGGGTCAGGACATCACCAAGTTCTTTGACTCCGTTCATGGCACGCACCTTCAACAGGTACTGGCTCACTTGCAGGCCCCCATGGCTTTGAGACGCTTCATGCAGTCTTTGATGTCTGAGCAGTGGCGTCTATTTGCGGCTGGCGGACGGGTCAGCGAAAGCTGGAAGCCGGTGAGCAGAGGCATGGCGCAGGGCGACCCGCTTTCGCCCTTGATGGGGGCAGCCATCATGGTTATTTGGACCGACCTGATCTCACGCAGTAATGCTGAATCCATGTGTTTCGTTGACGACAGAAATATATGGAGCCATTCCCTTTCCGCACTTCTTGAGGCAAAATCCTGGAGTGATCGTTTCGATACAGCCTTTGACTTCCATTGCGACTATCAGAAATGTCTGGTAGCGTCCTCAGGAGGCGATGTGGGCGAGAGGACAGCTGCGGAGTTTGGCTACAAGCATGTGGGCGTGCTCACCACCCTGGGCGTCCAGTTTGACTTGCGAGGCGGCAGTCTTCCCCGGTTGGCTCGCTACGCCTTTGAGGTTGCCAATGCTCGGCTGACTTGCATTCGGGTCGTGGCGGAGTGTCTCCCTCACCAGGCTTTCCATATACGTTCACTGGTGCTGCCTATGATGTCCTGGGCTGGGGCGGTTGCCAGCATTGAGGATACTCAGGTGTGCCAACTGCGACGTGCGGTGCTCGCCATGTCCAACAATCGGCTTGCTTGTGATACTCCAAGTGCTATTTTGTTCGAGGTCCTCGGATGGGACTGTGATCCAGGGATGGCCAGGAAGTGGGCAGCGTTGCGAGCTGCCATTTCTCTTGTGTGTCATCCACCATGTTGGATTGAGGATGCATCCATTCGCTTCGCTGCACAGCGGTGGCCTGAGCTTTTGCCAATCGCGGCCGAGGTCATCTGCGAGTTGGGGTGGTGGATTGAGGCTCGAGGGGACAGAATATGCCGTCGTGACGAGCGTGGCTATGTTCGGTCCTTCCATGTGGGCTTCGACTCTGAAAAGCTTCTACACGAATGGCTTGTGGATTGGCATCGCCGCGCGGCCCTGGATGCTACAGTCCGCGTGAGGAGGTCGCTGCATCGTGACGGAGATGAGGAGGACCTGGCCCAAGGCCTCTCACTGCCTACAGTTCCCACAGGTTCTCTGTGTGTTTATGCTGGACATCGCAAAGCGTATGAGGCTTCCGCCAATCGGCATGTCCGAAACTCTGCTTTGGCAACTGGTTGCTCAGTGTGGGCTAAGGCTGCTAAGCAACGTGTCCCTGCCGAGCGGATCAAGACATGTGGGTGTGGGGCCTCTTTCCCGAGCAGGCCTCACCTGCTTTGGCAGTGTAGTGCCACAGAGCACTTGCGCCCTCGTTGCGAGGCGCCTAAAAACAGAGTTGAGGAGCGCATGCTGGCCAGGGTTGTCCCTGAGCTCCCTGCGCCGCCGTGCGTCATTGGGGATGACGAGGTTCTCGAGGCCATCACCGTTGACATCGAGAAGCTGTTGCGCGACAAGGGCACCGTGACCGTCGGCACTGATGGCAGTGTTGTCTCCGAGGTCGCTGCGTGGGCTGTTGCCATTCATGGTGGGGGCACCCATGCTTCTGGAGTCATTGGGGAAGACCAGTCTCCATACCGTGCCGAGGTTGAGGGCATTCGACGGCTGTTGCTTGCTGCCAGTTCTTGCACCGGGTCTGGTAGGCTTGTGATCATCTCTGACTGCAAGTCTGCTATTGACACTGCTTTTGGACGTGGTCAGGCCACTCTTTTGGTTGCGGAGGTGGAAGCCCTTTTAGCTGCTGTATGTGGTTTGGGCATTGAGGTCACCCTACATTGGGTTCCGAGCCATGGCAAACTTGCGCCAACACGATGGCGGCCTCCTCCGGGGGGCGAGCTTTTGGCGAGGTTTCTAAACGATGCTGCTGATCGGGCTGCCAAGGCCCATGCTGGACTTCGTGCACGTCGCAGCGCTCGCGAGGCATGCCTTGCTGCGCGCGCTGGTGCTGCTGAGTGGGAGACGCAGGCGATCACTGGCCTTGCCAAGATTGCTGAGTTCTACGATTTGCAGTAGTCCTTGCCGCCGACATGGGCCTCTAGGGCTTTGGCACCCTGTGGTCTACTTGTAATAAGCGTAATAAGCGCGAAGACATCACCGAGCTTTTCAAGATTATGGACGGCCTTCCGGTGACGGTCCGTTTGCTGGACCCTCCCTTGCATGAGCGCCTCGTCCGCTTGTAGGGGTTTTGGGGTTTTAGGCTGTCACGGTCTCGTCCGCTTCTAGGGGTTTTGGGCTGTCACGGTCTCGTCCGCTTCTAGGGGTCTTTGGGGTTTTAGGCTGTCACAGTCTCGTCCGCTTCTAGGGGTTTTGGGGTTTTAGGCTGTCACGGTCTCGTCCGCTTCTAGGGGTTTTTGGGGTTTTAGGCTGTCACGGTCTCGTCCGCTTCTGGGGGTTTTGGGCTGTCACGGTCTCGTCCGCTTCTAGGGGTTTTTGGGGTTTTAGGCTGTCACGGTCTCGTCCGCTTCTGGGGGTTTTGGGCTGTCACGGTCTCGCGTTTTGGGGTTTTAGGCTGCCACGGTCTCGTCCGCTTCCAGGGGTTTTGGGCTGTCACGGTCTCGTCTGCTTCTAGGGGTGTTGGGCTGTCACGGGCTCGTCCGTCCGCTTCTAGGGGTTTTGGGGTTTTAGGCTGTCATGGTCTCGTCCGCTTCTAGGGGTTTTGGGCTGTCACAGTCTCGTCTGCTTCTAGGGGTTTTGGGGTTTTAGGCTGTCACGGTCTCGTCCGCTTCTAGGGGTTTTGGGCTGTCACAGTCTCGTCCGCTTCTAGGGGTTTTGGGGTTTTAGGCTGTCACGGTCTCGTCCGCTTCTAGGGGTTTTGGGGTTTTAGGTTGTCACGGTCTCGTCCGTTTCTAGGGAAATTTGGGCTGTCACGGTCTCGTCCGCTTCTACAGTAGGGGTTTTGCATGGGGTTTTAGGCTGTCACGGTCTCGTCCGCTTCTAGGGGTTTTGGGTCACGGTCTCGTCCGCTTCTAGGGGTTTTGGGCTGTCACGGTCTCGTCTGCTTCTAGGGGTGTTGGGCTCTTACGGGCTCGTCCGCTTCTAGGGGTTTTGGGCTGTCACGGTCTCGTCCGCTTCTACAGTAGGGGTTTTGCATGGGGTTTTAGGCTGTCACGGTCTCGTCCGCTTCTAGGGGTTTTGGGCTGTCACGGTCTCGTCCTGCTTCTAGGGGTTTTGGGCTGTCACGGTCTCGTCCGCTTCTAGGGTTTTTGGGCTGTCACGGTCTCGTCCGCTTCTAGGGGTTTTGGGCTGTCACGGTCTCGTCCGCTTCTAGGGTTTTGGGCTGTCACGGTCTCGTCCGTCTAGGGGTTTTGGGCGTCATGGTCTTGTCTGCTTCTAGGGTTTTGGGCTGTCACGGTCTCGTCCGCTTCTAGGGGTTTTGGGCTGTCACGGTCTCGTCCGCTTCTGTATTGTCAGGGTTTGTCACGGTCTCGTCCGCTTCTACAGTCTCGTCCGCTTCTAGGGGTTTTGGCTGTCACGGTCTCGTCCGCTTCTAGGGGTTTTGGGCTGTCACGGTCTCGTCCGCTTCTAGGGGTTTTGGGCTGTCACGGTCTCGTCCGCTTCCAGGGGGTTTGGGCTGTCACGGTCTCGTCCGCTTCTAGGGGTTTTGGGCTGTCACGGTCTCGTCCGCTTTTAGGGGTTTTGGGCTGTTCTTCACTGCTCGACCGATCCGCCCAAATTTTGGAGCACAAGCACCCTTGAAAGCTTCACACGTTTCGCAAGGTTCCCATTAGAGGGACACACAATTGTTACGTCCTCACTGAAGTGATCGTGAGCTAAGGTTCATCCCGCACACCGAAGCCGAGATGGGCCTTGTGGCAAAAGCCGCCGGGGTCCCTTTGGATCGCGTGCGCCGGCGCGCGAGCGAGCTGCAAGAGGCCAACCCCATGCTCGGGCACAGAGGCTGCCGCCTGGCCATCACGTATCCGGAGATCTGCGAAATGCAAGCTCGGGCCATCTTCGAGGCGGCCGCGGAGGTCGGGCGCAGCGCCAAGAAGACCCCGGTGGCCGAGGTCATGGTGCCCCTGGTTTCCACTGTGGAGGAGCTGGTGCAGCTGAAGAAGGTCATCGAAGACACTGCCAAGCAGGTGCAGAAGGAGCAGGGCGTGAACTTCAGGTATCACGTCGGAACCATGGTAGAGCTGCCCCGCGCAGCACTGCAGGCTGGCAAATTGGCAGAGCAAGCGGAGTTCTTCAGTTTTGGCACCAATGATCTGACTCAGACCACGTATGGCTTGAGTCGTGATGATGCCGGGTCCTTCTTGCCTGAGTACAAAGCGAAAGGTGGGACATGATCAACAAAAATGCACTTTCCGTTCTTAGTGTTTGTAGAATTTTATAGATGTTTCTAGTCTAGAGTCTAGAGGTGCAAAGGGCCGTCAGTTTGTGTTGTGAAACGCTTCCCCAGGCATCGTGGAAACGGACCCTTTCGTGAGCCTGGACCAGGAGGGTGTTGGCGAGCTGATCAAGATTGCGGTGGAGCGGGGCCGCGGAAAGCGCGCGGGCATGAAGATGGGCATTTGTGGCGAGCACGGCGGTGATCCAGCTTCCATTGAGTTCTGCGAGAAGACGGGCTTAGACTACGTCTCTTGCTCGCCCTTCCGCGTGCCCATTGCCCGCCTCGCGGCTGCGCAGGCTGCCTTGAAATCGCAGGGCGAGAAGGCTCTCCAAGCTTCCACGAAGGCTGCCAAGCCCAGGCAGCAGCAGTTTGGCCCCTGGTGAGCTTTGATCTTTGCACATATAATTATGCTTGCGTTTGAAGATTGTATATGGCATCTTTTGAATGCACTGCGCCTTCGATAGGTGTAGCATGCATGGGAAATTTGCTACGGTCAGTTTCGATTGCAGTAGATATCTGCAAGGCAGCTGACTTTCAATTACACTTTTAATTCCTGACGCCCTCCTTGGCTGGACCTGATGGCAATCCGTCCGTCCTTTGACAAAGTTCAGCTTGGGAGTCGCTTGCGTCGTAGCCATGGAAGCTGCCCTGAAGTGTGCAGGAAGCGGCAGCAGCTTGGCGTTTAGGTCTTTGAAATCGACTCGACTGTGGTGCCCTGTGCCCAAAAGCCTGCTTGTGTGGAGCGCGTCTGCTCAAACATCCCCCTACTACCAGCTCGCCACATCAGCATGGCAGCGTTGAGGTTGAGTTGTTTGTGCCCCTCCGTCTCAAGCCTAAGCACAGGGCTTGTCCGACAGCACAAAGGCTGCCCCCCAGCCCCGGCCCCCCCCCCCAGCATGGCCATCCTCAACTTGCGCGCAGATGGCCTGCACATCTTGGACAAAGACCTCCGCCACCTTTGCTGGCTCCTTGTAGACCTGAACAAGAAGAGGGAACCGCATGCGGCCGTGTTTGCCAGCTTGGCGCGGGAGTTTGTCCTGCCGTTCTTGGCCGTGACCTTCCGCTCCGCATCAGAGTCTCCAGTAGCCGCAGGCCTCAATCACATCTCTGCAATCAGCGAGTGCGGCCGGCTGTTGAGTTTTGGCGCTCTTAGCCAGACCGACATGCCAGACATTGGTCCAGTGGTTGCAGTGGCAGCCGGAGATTTTCACGCCTGTGCCGTGACGGCAAGCGGTGATCTGGTTTGCTCCGGATCGAACAAAGGCGGCCAGTGCGACGTACCGCCGGACCTCGGTCCGGTGTCGGTCGTGGCTGCAGGAGCCTATCACACCTGCGCCCTGACACAGGCTGGCAAGCTGGTGTGCTTTGGCTCGAACTACTGCGGCCAGTGCGACGTCCCCACGGACCTTGCTCCAGTGGTGGCCGTGGCCGCAGGAAACTCTCATACCTGCGCCTTGACGGAAGGGGGCAAGCTGGTTTGCTTTGGATCCAACCATCACGGGCAGTGCGATGTGCCCCCAACTCTTGGTCCAGTGGTGGCCGTGGCTGCAGGAGTTTATCACACCTGTGCCGTGACAGCAACCGGCGAGCTGGTTTGCTTCGGATCCAACGAGCATGGCCAGTGTGACGTGCCAGCCGACCTTGGCCCAGTGGTGGCCGTGGCTGCCGGATTTCGTGACACGTGTGCCGTGACAGCAAGCGGCGAGCTGGTTTGCATGGGCCCCAGCGCAGGCCAGCACAATGTACCGACAGACCTTGGCCCTGTGGTTGCCGTAGCCGCAGGGTTTCGCCACACCTGCTCCTTGGCTGCTTTTTGTTGAACATCTTTTTCAAGTTTTTGTATTGGTGTTTTTTTGGCTCAAAAGGGGACAACGAAGCGAGAATCTTAATCTGGGCTTCCGAGAATGAGGTGCCGTGACGGCGGGTGGCAAATTGGTCTGCTTCGGCGAGAATCAAGACGGCCAACCTTCCCCCGTGAAGGTTCAGGTCGCGCTGCCGCGACATGCCTTGCAGGGCTCAGTGTGCTGATGCCAACAAAAAAACAGAGAGACCACGAGAATAGTTGTTACTCGTCGTGATCCCCTAGACTTATCGTAGCGGCGTCTGCCAGCATCTTTTCTGTGCCCTGTTTTAAAGGGGGCTACAGACCCACCAGCCACTTGAGCCCAAAGAGCCTTTCTTCGGCTTCTTTTTCTTCTTCTTTCAGAGGCATCTTCCGAGGCTTCGGCCGAGCAAGCAATTCAAGACTACTGTGTGCTTAAGAACCGCCCAAAAGAATTACAAAAGCAGATAATAGTCAAATAATAATCACTCCCTTGTTTCAGGAATGTTTTGTTCTTGTTCTTATGTTTTTGGGGGGTTCTTAAGCACATAGTAGGAGAAAGGGCCAGGCAGGTCTCGGCTAGCGCTCCCTGCCAGGCATGCACGACTCATGCGCATGCTGTGCATCGCATGTAATCCCACGAGTCCGCGCTGCATGCAAAACTGCATCCGCATGCGCTTTCACCACCGCAGTGGATCGTTTCAGGCCCGCGGGGGTGAAAATGAGTGCCGACGTGTTCTCTCAGCTGCAAATTTGCACACTGGCATTGCCCAAAGATCAACTTCGCGGCGTCTCGAGTGACCCAGAAGAAGGCATGCCATGCACTACCGCGGCAATTTTTGGCTATAGCTCGATGATTCGCTAACATGTTCCTTCAAAACAGGCCCCCCCCCCAAGCCAACGACGGAAGAACTGCGACAGCAATCGCCTCGCGGCATGAGGAACATAGTCTCACAAAACAAAACGGCACAACATATTCCTGAATTAAGTGGCAACACTCTTAGCTTCTCTTCCGTCACGTTTTCAATCTTGAAGACAAGCCTCTCCGTTACTCCGGGATGGGTCTGAACAGCAGCTGCTGCCAAGAGGAGGACCTTGCTGGTGGCGCAAAGGACTCTTGGGGGCAATTAGGTTACAATCAGGATCAGGGATGCCAAAGGGTTTAGGGATGTTTAGAGGTGTTTTAAGAAAATTCAAAAGGGTTTGGCTTTTGGGTCAAAGAAGGGGTTTAGGGTACAGGGGGTACAAGGACCCACGCTACCCTGAAGCCCAGTTGGCTTGTGGGCAAAGAAGGGGTTTAGGGTAAAGGGGACACGGACCACATTACCATGAAGTGGCCCACATGATCCAAGGCTTCATTCACGGTTGATCAAAACCTGCCAGGAGCCACCAGAGGTTGTCGACAGCTACCACAAGGGTGAGACCACCCCGTCTTCCTGCAGTTCTGCTGCGGGCCCGCAGGCGGGATTTCCTTGGGAATTCGGAAGAGCATGTCGGGAGTTAGAGGCATACAGCGCGGTTCCGGCAGATTTCGGCAGCAACAATGGGGCCGTAAATCCAGAGGCTGCTGGAAGAAAGTGTGGTCCACAAACAAGGCACCCTCAAACTCCCATGCTGCACGGGAGATGTTTGCACCGCGGCAGGGCGCTTCGGGCATACCGGCCTCGAATTTCGCAGCGGTTGAGGCCTCCCATGCCCCGCACGCGCCGAGCTCCTTGGCGAAGCTCTCCCAACCACCTGCCCAGACGATCCCCTGCCTTACGAAGTACACCCGTGGGACTGGGTTTAAGAGGAGCACACATTCGGAATATTTTGCAAGACGGGTTCTAAAGGCCAGCCTGGCTTAATTGGCAGCCTGACATGAGTCTATATCCCAGTAGTAGAGTAGGTAACCTTTAACCTTTCTGGGGGAGTCCCTAAAACCTAAACCCTAAACCCTAAACCCTAAACTACTCCACAACTAGGTAAATGGAGCCGGCTGCAGCACATGAAGCACCTGGAGGCCTGGCCCCTTTAAGCTTTGGGGGGGGGGTTCCGAAAAAGAAGGGGGGGGGGGGTGCCCTTTTTTTTTTCTCTCAAAATTCCTTTAAAAGGGGATTCTAGAGTATTTTGGGGTAGACAAGTTAGGGGTATACCCCTCTTTTTTTTCGGAAAGCCCCCAAGGTGGTTTAACCGATGTCAGTCGCGGTCTGAGCTCAGGTGGACACCGACATCGTGCGCGGCATCTCCCTCCAGGGGTGTCTGAGGGGCTTGGGTCACCTTTGGCGGCAGTCTCCCATCGATCTGCCCGAGGAGGCTACAAGGGGGTTTAGGGTTTAGGGTTTGGTGCTTATATCGAGTGGCACCAACCCCGGGCGAAGTGGCAAGCCTGTTGCAGAAAGGGTTTAGGGTTTAAGAGCAGATGCTAGGGCTGCCAGGGACTCGACGACGCTCAGAGGGGAGAAGCCCATGTCCAGTGTGTATGATTTTGTCATGAACACCACAACTCACCCGCGGAAGCATGCTGTCGGAAAGGGCCGTCGACACCTTTATGAACGCTCATCGCCTGTGGGTGGCTACGACATCTTCCTATCACACACTTGGCAAACGCCCGGCAGGCTTGGGGGAGTGCTCCTGTTCTTTGGCGTTGCTCTTCTTGTGTCCTATGTCCCAACCTGAGGTACAAAGTCCTTAGCTTGCTCTTCCAAGCAGGATGGAAACACATGTTGCTGGGGCAGTTTATCGGCGTGGTGTCAGCTGGGCTATTGAGCCGCCTACACGTGCTCCCGATGCCTCTCAGCTTTGTGCCTGATTTCCCCGACTACGCGGGGGAGTGCCCATTCTTTCCTTGGTGTCTCACTTCGGGCCTCCTGGGAAGCTTTCTGGGCCTGCTGCTGGCACCCTACTCCCCACACCTCGGCAAGCGCCCCATGTGCTTCCTAGACGTGGTGAGCATCCACCAGGTGGATCTACTAAGTGGAGTTTAGGCGTGTAGCAGTTTAGGCAGGCGCTGCATTGAACCCTAAACCCTAAACCCCAAAGCCTCCACCCTACACCCTACACCCAACACCCTACACCCAAACCCTAAACCGTAAACCCTAAACCCTCCCTAAACCCTAAACCCTCAACCCTCAACCCTGAACCCTCAACCCTCAACCCTCAACCCTCAACCCTAAACCCTAAACCCTAAACCCTAAACCCTAAACCCTAAACCCTAAACCCTAAACCCAATCCACGACAGGTGGATCAGGAGCTCATGGAGCGGGGCATCTATGGCCTAGGAGGATTTCTGCGAGTTTCCAAAGAGCTCCGGGTCCTCTGGTCGGCACCCTACCTCTCAAGGCCTATAGGGTTTAGGGTTTAGGGTTCAGCAGGTACACTCTTGCAAACGTCTGCATGTCATTTCAGCACGATTTGGGTACTCACGTACTCAAAGGGTTGTATCATTGAAGCCCTAAACCCTAAACCCTAAACCCTAAACCCTAAACCCTAAACCCTAAACCCTAAACCGCAAACCCCAAACCCCAAACCCCAAACCCCAAACCCCAAAACTCGAACCCTCAAGGCTCTGGTGTGTCTTTG